GTCATGAAACAACGCTGACAGGGCGGTATAGTAGAAGAGGCTGTCGGGGGGGAGGGGGTTTCGTGAGGTCGCCCGGAGGAAGTCCTTGATGGAATGGAACGGGCAACAACCGGGCCTCTATCGTCGTTGAATCTTTGCAGTTCGATCATGCAGCATGATGATCTCATGGTCCATCTAAATGTGTTTATCGAAATGATCTACCGATAATGATTTGAGCTCAATATCTAACAACTCCCATTTCACAAAGGCGGAGTGCTTAAATGTCTGATGAATTCAGCCCGCAATCTGTGCCCAAACAATGAAGCTCGAAAAAAGTAAACCATATCTACGACATAAAAGAAGCACACGGATACTCGGAAAAGTTTATCCAGAAAGCATCGAGTCGCTGAGCTGGAGAAGAGCCAAAACCGAAGCAGTACCCCGCATTTACCATATGCACACTACTTTCTGGGTTTGCCATGCGGATCGTGAACTCAACAAACTTCAGAATTGCCTCAAAATCTAAACGATCACGACTAAAGAGGGTAAAGAACGCAGTAGATTAGGTGAAATTGATAGACTGTCTGAGTGGAACCTACGATACGTCAGCTAAACATCACGGCCACTGCGGCTCCCGGTTGATTAGCACAGTTAAACCAACGAGCGAGTGGCTGTGGGCCAAAAATACCGCGAATGTTGAAAAGTAACATCTGGTCCAGCCGATAATCATGTTATGGCTGGATATCATATCGATTTCGCGGGAACAAGACTAATTACGATGGCATCAAACATCAACATAAAAAGTCCTGTTGCAAGCCGTCCTGACTCAGACCACGGAAAAGGTTATGAATCGGGACTGTGGGCCAGCAGCATCGACAGCATTGATTAGCCTACAAAAAAGAATCCCAAAGTCAAAGCTAGTCCGATCCGGTGAAGGGAAAAACCGCCGTTTCTTTGGTACCTATCAATGATAACGACTTAGACATGAGGGCGATGGATGGTCAAGACTAAATTTGTTGACCAGAGCTAATATTGGCGTATCGAATATCTGTGAGCTTTATTAAATGCCATATGTAAATATTTAAAATAAAAGTCTTCCATTGTTACTTTCGAACGTTGCTAAACGGGACGGTCGATTCAAAAACTGAAAATGTCGAGAGAGGTGAACTCCAAGTCGGGTAGTTCCGATGAGTGACGTGCCTCATTATCTGCTAAAAGTGGCGATCCATGGTCTTTTGGTCAAGAACAACAGGAACCTACCCCGTAACGAAATTAGCTGAAACACGGGTGGTAAATTAATCGAGTGATTCATCGGCTTTGACTTCATTCATAGACTTTCTCTGCTGAAAATCGTTAACCGTTAACCGACGATATAATCGATTAAGAATGGTCATTGGTACGCACGAATGAATACGAGGAAGCCATGTTCTTTTTGTATTCCCTCATTCACGCCGTTGTCTGTGCCATCCGACCGGCACGCAAGACCGGTTCTCCAAAAGAAATGCGCTTATTTGAAGAAAAAAACCTCATGTGAGAACGTGATGGTTCAGGGCAAGTCGATCGGTGATGGAAACAGATAGTTCGAAAGAGGAACGAAACAAGCGCCAGCGCCTACCTGTGAATTTCTGTTCACCGGCGATGAGCAGCGCCGAGAGTCTTTAATTATTCTTCGTTGATGTGGCACAAACGATTGACACCAGTGTTTCGTTTCCTCACTCCTTCCGCTCGCCGTCGTTTCCTCGTCTCCACTGACGATCGTCGGCCAGGCGGAGTGACTTTATTGTCTGTGCTTAAGGCGAGACTAGGCGAGGTGAGTGCTGCCGTCGCCGATTCGCTCTTCATCGCCGCAACGCTGACGTCGAACCAGCAATCGCCACGCATCCCTGCGGGTTGGCGAGTCGAGGAACGGATCGCAGTTGTCTACGACATCCGACCTCGTAGTCCTCCTCGTCCTCCAGGTCCACCTCCGTCCGTCGGACGATCCCTCTGTGACTCAAACTGTTTTAAATGTAATCGAGGAATAAACATTTCCTCATGGCAAAATCAGGGTCGTCAAATTTGACATTTCAACTATTAAGCCCGGTACTTTGTTCCCTGTTTCGCCTAGCCACTCCTGTCTATCCATCTACAGTTGCGCGGTGCTGCAAACTTTGCTGTGTCAAAAGAGAATCGATTTCTGTCATATACGCCGAGACGCAAGTCTTTTTACGATGGTCTTCTGCAACGGAGCATGCAGTAGCTTTAGACTGCCAACATTCAGAAAGTTTAGCATCGCAAACTATAATAATGTTTAAAGAATGCAATGCGGAGTCTGCTTACTATATCGCAAACTTTGCAATCTAGGAGAATAACTAACGATATTAGGAGCTGAAGCGATGAGCGAAGCTTCACAGAATATATCATGAAATGGTGTAATGATCAGGACTTGAAAAATCCGGATTTTCAGCGCTGTCTAAAATGTACATTCATGCTGCTATCCGTTTGAGCGGATGATGACGCCTGACAGTATTACTGTAAGGCCTGGATATTGTCCTCGTTGTTCTTCTCGACTACCCAAAAAAGTTTTAGTATCGATTGTTGTTTTTCATCAACAACCAATAGAATGTCAGTCACTCATTTTCGATGTTAACTTAACCTTTCAAATAGTGGAGATAGACGCTCCGACGTCCTGATCCTATGTCAATGCTTCAGCTTGGCCAGAAGATAACCCGAGTCTGGAGCAGGGTTTGGTGATACACTTTCCCATTGTCATTTTTGGACACTCGGTTTTCGTCTTCGGTTGGCCGGTTGGGAAAATAGTACCTGATTCGCTTTCCTTTCTGGAAACATTCGAAGGATGTGCTCAGACTGTCCCAGCTGTGACTACCAGCGGTCATATACCAAGGATTACTCTGATACTTGAAGTACCGATCACGCCGAGACGCGTCAGGTAAGCGATTCGTCTCAAAAAGTCCATTTCAGCCTCTTGTACCCGGTATCGAGCGGAACAGTCATTTCCCATGCCTCCTCCATCATGGGTGAGCATCGGGATAATGATCGATTTCAACAAAGGCAAGTTAGTCATCAGATTCATCTTTGCTTTAGTCAGAATGATGGTTCGAGTTAGCTCACGCAAAGCGCTCATTCTAATTCGCAGGCCAATCTCCTCCTTAGATCATCCATTGTAGGTTAGAATAAACCTGAGGTACATAAATTTTTCCATTTACACCATTGCTTTTCGATCATCTCCAGAGCGCAGCTAGCAGCAGAGCAAAAGGGCACTACGTTTTGCTTATAATCCCGTTCACACACATGTGGACAGCGTCATACTCGGCTGCGAACCTTTCTAAGGAGCACCGAAGACCAGTTTCAAAAGCTGCCAATAAAACAAGATCGTCTGCAAACAGCAACCTTCTCGACTTCATATCTCCTACACTGATACATTCATCGCCTTGGCTGCCTCTGACTATTCTCTCCATGTACATCAAATACAGGATAGGGAACAGGACGCTGGCGGAGACCAGTGCGAACGTTGAATGGTTTCGACTTAACGCCATTAACTCTGACACAGCACCTGCTATGTCCTGCATTCGAATCGAAGGCTTATTGTTTCTAAATCACCTCTTGGATGCATTCTTCGTTTTACTGATAATCAGTCTAACATCGTTTGCCATCAGAAGGTTCGTTTCTGACCTTCAGGCGGCAGGCCAACCAGTTTGAAACTGTAACACTTGGTTTCAGAGGCATCTACATCAGCGATCATCACTGGGATCTTTTCAAATCATTATGCAATGTTGCTTGCAAGTTTTGCCCTCATACGCGCATAAGGTAATATTTCCCACTTACTTCTCTGGTTACTTCTGCCGCCAGATCTTTATACAGCTACGTGATCGTTTGCAGAGGAGGATCCCAACGGTATGATGATGAACGGTTGATAACTTTGTGCATCTCTTAATGCGAACTTCCACTGCAAAACGTCGTAAACCGAACAATACGATTATCAAATCGATCATCCGCTTCTGTGCACAAGCTTCTCTCTACCGAGTATACTGATGCATCCTTTGTTACTCGAAGACGGTGTTCATAACGTACAGTCTGTTCTTCGCACAGAACCGCAATAACTTCAGGACCCTATTGTATAGGTTCACAGAGCCGTCCTTTATAATCACACCATTCCACTTTTCAGTGTCTGAAAGTGCGCGTTGAAATCGCTCATCAGAATGATGAATTGTCTAGTCGGCACTTCGTACAGAGCTTCTGCTACTGCCTCTATATATTAAACATATTTTCTCTCTAAATCTGGCACATTCATCTATAACAACGTCAGAGATGTAGTGATTATAGCGCTATTCAAAGAACTATCGCTCTTCCGCTGATAGACTTCCATTCACTGATTCTGTTTTTTTGGTTTTATCATACCTGAACAGCAGCACTATAGTGAGCATGGGTAGTGCAGTCGACTAAGGAAAGTGGCTTCCACCTGCAGAGGTTCAGCATTCCAGATCTCTGGCGTTTCATTGGCCAGGGATATCGAGTCGGTACCTCGCAGTCTCATCGATAATCTCCTGCTCTTTTCGTCTGAATGACAACATGGTCCAATTTCTATGTGAGCTCCCACTGTCGGTGCCACTCCCGTTGAACTTTATCTTAACTGTTACAATGGTATCGCTGTCTGTCTCTCCAGTTCAGAACGGCCACCAGCTCCGTTGTTGAGTGAAACCTCCTTCCTCTTGTCGAACTTTGGCCGCCATCAGCGCACTTTCACGGGCGCAGTTGCCAGAAGGCGACAAGACGTACTTTTTGCCGACTTAGAATAGCTGTTACTGTTTTTACTTCATGACCTCTGACATTCGTTGCCTTTCTCGAAAACCCCTCGCTCAATAATGCAAAGTATATTTTTGCATTTCGACTAAGCCACTCTCTCGGTAACTTTCAGAAACTCTCAGTTTTTTGCATTCCCCTTCACAGCGGTGGCAGAACGAAACACAAATCTGCACGGAATGTACTGACACACTGCAGCCGAGCAGAACATAATTGCGTGCTTCAACCGAAACCTTCTTGTCAACACATCAGCAGAGAAAGTTCACACGCATCATAGAGATTACACCAATAAAATCAGACTCATTTTAACAACACCACCGCTCAGGCATAACTGCGTCACCCTTTAGCTCGCTTTCGACGGAAGAGGCATCATAAGTATAGCCAGCCTCCTTATCACTGCTTACGAAATTCTTCCTTACAGTGCCAGGAACGCTTCCGTATCACAAATATTGGACAACATCACCAGATTCTTCATCTTCATCTTCCACCGCCGCTGCTACTTTCGGGTCGCGGGGGCAGACGCGTTCACACAGTGCTTCTAACGTTCCCGATCCTGTACCACAGTCTGAGCATCGATAAAAGACAAATGGAGTCTGGAACAGACTTCTTCCATATTTTTGCACCAGGCTAATCTTCGCCGTCCCCTGGGCCTTCTGCCGGTCGGATTTGCAAGTAACAGCTGCTTAGCCTTCCCTTATGGAAGCATTCGCAACACATGCCCAAGCCATCCTAGCTGTGACTTCTCAATCTGGAGAAGCAAAGGCAGTAATCCAAGGCTCTTCCGGATGTCACCGTTCCG